TGGAGTGATCTTACACACTGCTGATCTCAGACGAGTGACCTTACACACTACTGATCTCAGACTGGAGTGATCTTACACACTGCTGATCTCAGACTGGAGTGATCTTACACACTACTGATCTCAGACTGGAGTGATCTTACACACTACTGATCTCAGACTGGAGCGATCTTACACACTACTGATCTCAGACTGGAGTGATCTTACACGCTACTGATCTCAGACTGGAGTGATCTTACACATTACTGATCTCAGACTGGAGTGATATTACACACTACTGATCTCAGACTAGAGTGATCTTACACACTGCTGATCTCAGACTGAAGTGATCTTACACACTACTGATCTCAGACGAGTGATCTTACACACTGCTGATCTCAGACTGGAGTGATCTTACACACTACTGATCTCAGACGAGTGATCTTCCACACTACTGATCTCAGACTGGAGTGATCTTACACACTGCTGATCTCAGGCGAGTGATCTTACACACTACTGATCTCAGACTGAAGTGATCTTACACACCAATGATCTCAGACTGGAGTGATCTTACACACTACTGATCTCAGACTGGAGTGATCTTACACACTACTGATCTCAGACTGGAGCGATCTTACACACTACTGATCTCAGAGTGGAGTGATCTTACACACTACTAATCTCAGACTGGAGTGATCTTACACATTACTGATCTCAGACTGGAGTGATATTACACACTACTGATCTCAGAGTGGAGTGATCTTACACACTACTGATCTCAGACTGGAGTGATCTTACACACTACTGATGTCAGACTGGAGTGATCTTACACACTACTGATGTCAGACTGGAGTGATCTTACACACTGCTGATCTCAGACTGGAGTGATCTTACACACTACTGATCTCAGACTGGAGTGATCTTACACACTACTGATGTCAGACTGGAGTGATCTTACACACTGCTGATCTCAGACTGGAGTGATCTTACACACTACTGATCTCAGACTGGAGTGATCTTACACACTGCTGATCTCAGACTCGAGTGATCTTACACACTACTGATGTCAGACTGGAGTGATCTTACACGCTACTGATCTCAGACTGGAGTGATCTTACACACTACTGATGTCAGACTGGAGTGATCTTACACACTGCTGATCTCAGACTGGAGTGATCTTACACACTGCTGATCTCAGACTGGAGTGATCTTACACACTACTGATGTCAGACTGGAGTGATCTTCCACACTACTGATCTCAGACTGGAGTGATCTTACACACTACTGATGTCAGACTGGAGTGATCTTACACACTGCTGATCTCAGACTGGAGTGATCTTACACACTGCTGATCTCAGACTGGAGTGATCTTACACACTACTGATGTCAGACTGGAGTGATCTTACACACTACTGATGTCAGACTGGAGTGATCTTCCACACTACTGATCTCAGACTGGAGTGATCTTACACACTACTGATGTCAGACTGGAGTGATCTTACACACTACTGATCTCAGACTGGAGTGATCTTACACACTACTGATGTCAGACTGGAGTGATCTTACACACTGCTGATCTCAGACTGGAGTGATCTTACACACTACTGATGTCAGACTGGAGTGATCTTACACACTACTGATCTCAGACTGGAGTGATCTTACACACTACTGATGTCAGACTGGAGTGATCTTACACACTACTGATGTCAGACTGGAGTGATCTTACACACTACTGATGTCAGACTGGAGTGATCTCTACACACTACTGATCTCAGACTGAGTGATCTTACACACTACTGATGTCAGACTGGAGTGATCTTACACACTACTGATCTCAGACTGGAGTGATCTTACACACTACTGATCTCAGACTGGAGTGATCTTACACACTACTGATCTCAGACTGGAGTGATCTTACACACTGCTGATCTCAGACTGGAGTGATCTTACACACTGCTGATCTCAGACTGGAGTGATCTTACGCACTGCTGATCTCAGACTGGAGTGATCTTACACACTGCTGATCTCAGACTGGAGTGATCTTACGCACTGCTGATCTCAGACTGGAGTGATCTTACACACTACTGATCTCAGACTGGAGTGATCTTACACACTGCTGATCTCAGACTGGAGTGATCTTACGCACTGTTGATCTCAGACTGGAGTGATCTTACGCACTGCTGATCTCAGACTGGAGTGATCTTACACACTGCTGATCTCAGACTGGAGTGATCTTACGCACTGCTGATCTCAGACTGGAGTGATCTTACGCACTGCTGATCTCAGACTGGAGTGATCTTACACACTGCTGCAGATGACACTCACATACAGTACAAACTTGAAATATGTGAACAACAAAATCATTTATTTACTAACAATTTACTGTAAATAGAATTTGGTCAGATCGAGGGCGGAATGCATTGTAAATCACGGTGGTCCGTTTTACAAGTACAGTTTTCTTTTTTTTTTTTACCAAAGTTGTAAACAAGTCCGTCCTCTCAAAATAAAAGGCGGCTCAATGAAACACAACAGGTCATAAATCAGACATACAACAGGAAGCAAATCAGACATACAACAGGAAGCAAATCAGACATACAACAGGAAGCAAATCAGACATACAACGGGAAGCAAATCAGACATACAACAGGAAGTAAATAAGACATACAACAGGAAGTAAATCAGACAAACAACAGGAAGTAAATAAGACATACAACAGGAAGTAAATCAGACAAACAACAGAAGTAAATTTAAGACATACAACAGGAAGTAAATAAGACATACAACAGGAAGTAAATAAGACATACAACAGAAGTAAAATAAGACATACAACAGGAAGTAAATAAGACAACCAACAGGAAGTATATCAGACCATAAAAACAGGAAGTAAATAAGACATACAACAGGAAGTAAATCAGACAAAACACAGGAAGTAAATAACATACAACAGGAAGTAAATCAGACAAACAACAGGAAGTAAATAAGACATACAACAGGAAGTAAATAAGACATACAACAGGAAGTAAATAAGACATACAACAGGAAGTAAATAAGACATACAACAGGAAGTAAATAAGACAACAAACAGGAAGTATATCAGACATACAACAGGAAGTAAATAAGACATACAACAGGAAGTATATCAGACATACAACAGGAAGTAAATAAGACATACAACAGGAAGTAAATCAGACAAACAACAGGAAGTAAAAAGACATACAACAGGAAGTAAATCAGACAAACAACAGGAAGTAAATAAGACATACAACAGGAAGTAAATCAGACAAACAACAGGAAGTAAAAAGACATACAACAGGAAGTAAATCAGACAAACAACAGCAAGTAAATAAGACATACAACAGGAAGTAAATAAGACATACAACAGGAAGTAAATAAGACATACAACAGGAAGTAAATAAGACATACAAGAGGAAGTAAATAAGACAAACAACAGGAAGTAAATAAGACATACAACAGGAAGTAAATAAGACATACAACAGGAAGTAAATAATACATACAAGAGGAAGTAAATTTAAAACATACAACAGGAAGTAAATAAGACATACAACAGGAAGTAAATAAGACATACAACAGGAAGTAAATAAGACATACAACAGGAAGTAAATAAGACATACAACAGGAAGTATATCAGACATACAACAGGAAGTATTTCAGACATACAACTGGAAGTAAATAAGACATACAACAGGAAGTAAATAAGACATACAACAGGAAGTAAATAAGTCATACAACAGGAAGTATATCAGACATACAACAGGAAGTAAATAAGACATACAACAGGAAGTATATCAGACATACAACAGGAAGTATTTCAGACATACAACTGGAAGTAAATAAGACATACAACAGGAAGTAAATAAGTCATACAACAGGAAGTAAATAAGTCATACAACAGGAAGTAAATAAGACATACAACAGGAATTAAATAAGACAACAAACAGGAAGTAAATAAGACAACAAACAGGAAGTATATCAGACATACAACAGGAAGTAAATAAGACATACAACAGGAAGTAAATAAGACAACAAACAGGAAGTAAATAAGACATACAACAGGAAGTAAATAAGAAATACAACAGGAAGTATATCAGACATACAACAGGAAGTAAATAAGTCATACAACAGGAAGTAAATAAGACATACAACAGGAAATAAATAAGACAACAAACAGGAAGTAAATAAGACAACAAACAGGAAGTATATCAGACATACAACAGGAAGTAAATAAGACATACAACAGGAAGTAAATAAGACAACAAACAGGAAGTATATCAGACATACAACAGGAAGTAAATAAGACATACAACAGGAAGTAAATAAGGCAACAAACAGGAAGTATATCAGACATACAACAGGAAGTATATCAGACATACAACAGGAAGTAAATAAGACATACAGCATGAAAGGTATACAACAGGTAATAAATAATAAGTAACAAAAACACTGCATGAGAGACTGGAGGAAGTATTCACAAAATCAATTAGTTGACGAATAAAGCAACACAAAAATTGTAAAGGAACTTAAGATCTAAGTTTGACAGTCTTGTACAGTCATGACTTAGTTAGCAAGATGACGTCAAGGTGACGTCAAGTCTAATTTATTATACAATATGTAATTAACGTATATAATATATATATATATAATATATATATATATATATATATATATATATAAATATATATATGTGGTGTGTGTGTGTGTGTGTGTGTGTGTGTGTGTATGTATGTTACACCAAGGTCTGCAGGTTAAACAGTAAACTCTGAAATATCTTCTATACATATATTATCAGCTAACTCTTTGCAGCTTCACAGAGAGGAAGTCAAACACTCTTAAAGCATTCCCAATAGTTGAGATGTTTTATTAATTCTATGGTGACAGTAAACGACCTCTGGCTATGTTTTCCCGTTCCGCTGTCTCTCCTGTCCTGAACGGCGCTCTCAGAACACAACAAGTGACTGGAAAAGTACCATCATCGTCATTAACATTAAGGCCGCTGTAGTACTCAC